GTAAAGTTAACAATATGGATCAAATTCACTGCCAAATGTTATGAGCCCCATATGCTCCCCCCTTATTACCGTAGAGAAATGTGTGGTTTTTCGCACGCGGAAAATATACGGCCGGTAGTTTGGAAACCCTGAATCCAAGTGTAACAGTCAAGCGGGCTCAAAATTAATCGGGAATTGGAAAAGTTCATAAACACCGAATTATACCCTTCCTTCGAGTATAGGATTGAAAGATGACGTAATTGTCTATCGAATGAGCAAAAGAATGAATATTTTTATGCATGTTTTCCATGAAATAGAATCGAACTTTTGGGGCATCGCAAATCAATGAGAAAAACCCATGCTACTTAAGTGGTCGTTATTTACAGTGTAGCTTTTGCATGCAGCCGCACCGAAGTTCATTAGAAAGCCGGCATCCTGAGGTAATTGAAATATTATACAATTATTTTGCAGGCTGACTAGTTTTACAACCTTACTTAATTAATCTTTTCGAAACGAAAACGCATCTCGGAATTTCTGTTGACATTTCATGAGTCAGCCCCCCTACTGTATTTAAGTCTCCAACAGAAACGCTAAACTCTATGAAGGGAGATGGCAAGAAGGTGAAGCGAGACAAGGAGACATCACAGAAATGCTTTGTAGCCTGGGGTCCGGTCTGAAGGCGACAAAATGAGCACCAACCCCTCTGTGCCCCCCTGCCTCCCATTAATAAGGGTCGTAAACAGAAGATTGCCCGAGAAGAGGGTGGACACGGCAACGGAAAATGCCAGCTAGCAAATTGCGGTGAGAAGGGAATCCTAAGTGGGCGTGTTGGTGTGAAAAAAAGTCCCTTTCTGATGCAATTTTTATGGAAATGGTGGACAGTCATATCTCCAAAGAACAAATATTTCAACGAACATGATTATTAAAACTGCGAACGAAACCATCACATTTCAGGGAGGTACTTGAGTTAATATTAGCTACGCGTGCTCGATGCCATAGAGATGTCTAGTTGAGATTAGAATTACAAATAGAGACTAGGATTAGTGGAAGACACATGACGAGTTAAGCCGCGTTGTGGATGATGTGGGAGTTTTACTGTAGATTTCAACAAACTATCCTGATTGCGGTAGGAAAGAAAAACACTACACTTTGTGTTACAGTTCCGGGCTAGAGCCCATACAGGCAGACGAGGAGCGAATAGCAATCAAAAATCAACTGAGACGGCCAATTCGCGCATCTTGACCATCATACACCGATCTCGGGTCAGGCAATCCGTGACAAAGATGGGAGGCTGGCGCTTGAAATTCATTCCCTTCTGGATTACAGGGTAATTTTACAGCTGTTCTTGATCGTTTCAGTCGCGCGATTACCAAAAACTGGGCGCGATCAACTTTTAATGTGGGCAACAACCGCAACAATAACAATTGCCCCCGACTGAGTGCAGGAGAGGAATACGTGGCGTCTGCAGCAGCAAGTCAACAAGACAAGAAAACCACAGACAGACTGCACGAAGACAGGCAGACACGGAAAAGTTCCAGTACGTAACAAAGAGAGACGAGGCAAGACAGATGGTATGCACAACCCGATTTCTAGTCAACAGCAGGGTGAATCCCAGATGTTAGGCGGCAAACCGATGGAACGCGCACTAAAGGAAAACCACCGGGAGGTGGGATTTTTTATGAAGTTGAGGGAACAGGTGGAAAAGAGATATGGCGTGGAACAAACATTGGCTGCAATCAGCAAAACGTCTAACTAGGGATAAGGATGATCATGTTGGCAGAAGAACACCAATGGTATTTGGGTCGGGAAAAAGCAACTGCAGAGAGATCCATGTCTACTAGTTTCTGTCCACGAGAGGACGTGAGTACATCCACCTTAGTAGGGTAGTCGAAACCATGCAGCTAGTTCATACAGCAGGGCAACTTGTGCCTTCTTCGAGACCACTCAGCAGTTTGGCAGTCTATTTGTTTTTATCGTAGACCACGAAAGTCAAGTAGTTCGGTGGTTCCCAGACAACAAACAGAGTAGTCCATGCTTTACTGGTTATGAAGATGGGACTAGAGGGTCACGCGAATGGCTACAGTAGTATGTCTTTGTCAAGAGGACCGAAGAGGTCTCAAGGTATTGGAGAGATCAAAAAAATGAGATGATGCAAACAATTTTCGCAACATTGAGACCGAAATACCTTAATCTACATTGCCAAGTTAACCGGTATGTGAGCAGTGGCACCTATTTGAATCAATGTAACTAGGACTAAAACAGCTTTCTATTCGTTCCCCTCAGTCTCTAGGTTGGTTCTCTCCATGGCAGTCCTATACCGAGTTGATCATAGTGTCGTACAATTGCCTGCTCTTTCGCACTACTGAAGCTTGTTGAACAAGTTACCCTAGATATGATAAAGCCATTCTTTTCCAGTTTTTCCGATCCTAACAATTCACATATAAGGCCAAGCGTAGTACCTCAGATCCTGTTGCTCTTGTGGTCCACTCTGCTCTAAGAGAAATAGATAAGGGCTGCCATGTGTACGGCTGTGCTTTTATTGACTATTCCTCCGCCTTTAACACCGTCCCGCGCCATCTTCTCCTTACCAAAACATTCGCATGCAGCTCCCCAGGCTGCGTTGTCTCTCGGCTAGGTGATTACCTTACTTCCCACGCTCCATTTATCTAATTCGGCAGGCGGAAATCCACGGTTCTTCCCAATGACAGGAGTTTTTCAAGGTCCCATTCTACTCCCTCACCTCTTGTCCCTCCACGCTGATGAGCCAATATCCTAAAACGACTGTCTATTAGTTAAGTTTGCCGACGGTGTGGTTGTTGGTCACCCTCTCAAAAATCAGACATATCTCCAGTCTAAGGACGGCCTTGACCATGTCTCAGTATGGTCGCAGGAAAATGATCTCCTATTGAATAATAAAAAAATCAGTCCAGTGTATTTTTCCACTCTGACCCTCTCCTGGTCCTGAATCCTTGGAAATCCTTCCCAACGAGGTATCCCCTTTCAGGTACCTTGTCGTTACTTTGTCATCAAATCTTTCATTTTCCCTCCATATTGAGACGCCTTTCATTAGAGTTCGTAAACTTCTTTATTACACTAGTCGTTTACGTTCCTACCACACACCTCAACCCTTCTTCTGGAGATTCATTGACTCCTGAATCCTTCCTCTCATTCTTTATTGCTCTCCTGTCGTTTTTCCTGCTTTGCTCGAGAAAAATATGTTAATTTTAAGATGAGTCCTCCGAATGCTCTCTTCTGCTGCAGGTGTTTCTTATGTCTTTTGAGCCGATAATATCAAACAGCGACATTTCAAAACGGTCAAGCGATTTGCTGGTCGAATTCTAGATGACGTTGCCCATTCCCTGCATTCTGATCTTATTTCTGCGACGCCTTCCCGCCCGATGCGCCACGGCTTCCGACTTATCTCTTGCCGTACATCGGCATATCAACATTCTGTATTGCCATTCCTGGCCCGCTATCTTACGTATGAAGAGACAGAAATACAGAAACTGGGGATTGAATTGTCCCCATAACAGTTGTGCATTTCTGTGTAAACCTTTCTGACCCTTGGGTACTTTGTTAACTTATATTCTGCCCACAGTGAATGGAGCCCCTTTTTGCTAAAAACATTGAATTTATACTTTCAAAATAAGGCGAATTCCTATTCTCTTCATATCCCGAGTTGTCACGGGATTTCTAGAACATTTTTTCTAGAACTATTTCAACGGATCCAAGTATACACCCTGTTCACACTCGTAATCGTGATGATGCGCATTGTGGGGTAGAAGGTGGTCATGACGTCGTGATCCTATGGGCAAGTCCTATGAACTAAGGATATCTCCGGTGTACTTGTGAGGCAGCCAAGATCGTAGTA